ATACTTGCTCGTCATGGATACAGTTTGGAAGAATATCCTGATGCATTTGATATGGATCCATTCACTGATAGAGCAATTTCCTTGGGAAAACTTTTTCACTCTATGGGAGGCTCGCCATTGATTTGATTACTTGCGAAAAATTGTTGCTACCAAATACCAAAGTTCGAATTAAACTTATTCGAGCTAGACCGAACTTTTACATGCTATCTGATAATCCAAATGTCAGTCTGAACATTGTTGATTGTTCGCTGTTTACAAGAAGAGTTCTAGTTGCTGAACCTAATCATCAATACTTGCAATGGAATCTGGAAAGAGAGCCTGCTCAATACAATTACATGGAAACTATAGCAAGAACCCTTATCATTCCATCTCGTCGAATCCAATTCATTCAAGAAAAAATATTCAATAACGCCCCAATAAGGAGAATAGCTGTTGCAATGAATACAAATTCAGCTGTTGCGGGACCTTTTCATGAGAACCCTTTCAGCTATCAGCAGTTTCATTTGACAGAGCTAAGAAATATTCGGGGTGGAAGAGCAATTGTTTCATTAGATACAACTTCTCCTTGTCGTCCTTATGTTACAAGAATGAAAGCAATGCAGTTTATCGAAGATTTCCCAGCACTTCCCATGGAAGTTTTTCAAAATCACTATATTCTAGTTTTTGACTTGACTTCACTACAGGATGCAGCTGAACAGTTGCATTATCCAGAACTTAGTGGAGAAAGCTTGAGATTAGAAATGTTTTTTTTTTTCAGTTTCCCTTTGAGCAAGTAACGGAAGTGATAGTCTTGAGAGAAAGACTATCAAATGTTCAAATTGACAAAATCGGAACAGTTGCTTGGGTTTTTTTGAGTTTTCGGGTTCTTTCAAAAATGTTGTAACTTTTGTGGGACTTTTCATTGTTATTGTCTCTGTATTATCTATCTTGTTTTTCTTCAGACCTAAATCTCCAGACAAAGCAGATAATGAATGCTGTTTAATTGAAAACCCACAAATTATATTCAACCTAGACTGTAAAACAGTGTTCAATAACCTTTGTCCAGTTCAAAAGGTTTGTGTATGGGAGTTTGTTGATTCAATACCTAAATGCGCGTAAGTCAGTAACTTTAGGTTTTTTTCACCATAAAATACAATATCAAACTATCTATTTCTTTGTTTTAGATGTAAATCAGGTAACAATTGCAAAGATGGAGAATTTTTCACTTCTGCAACTTATTGAAAGAATTCCTGAACTCAGGATCAAGTTCATGGGATCTTACCCCTCTGATGAAGTACCTCAACTAACAAAATAGTCTTTTGCAATTGTTAACTCAGCTCCAAGCAATGATAGAGGGGGGCACTGGATCGTGATAGCTCGATTGGATAAAACTTACTTCTTTGCTGATTCTTTGGGTCGAAAAAGAACAGCTTATTCCTTTCTAACAAAAAAGTATCGGCGAATGGTTCCCAGAAAATTACAAAAAACTGATAATTTGTGTGGATTTTAGGCAATTTATTCAGCATTTCTTGATTTCAAAATCCACCAGACAAATTTAATTAAAATTCATGATGTGCATGTATTGAATTTAATAAGTAATTTTTTGTAAATGTTAGTTTTTTATTTGTAAGTAAAAAATATTGTAGTAACTTCACTATACGATGCAGTGATTTATATACTTTCTTTAAAAAAATTTTTTCTCTCAAAAACTTGAGTTTTTCGAAACTTCAGTAGGTTTTAGAATTGCTTCAAGTAGATAGAAAATAAAAAAATCTAATATGTTAGTTAATAAGTCGAATTATAACAAACTTTATCGTGTTATGAAGTTTTTTGAAAAATTTTCAGCTTTTCGATAAAACGTCTAAGTTTTTACCCAAAAACGCTTACCATTGACTTACCATGCATCAAAAAACTAATTGAAAAACTTCATTACACCATCTACCTTCATAATTAACCTTTGCTATTTATAAATTAGATTACACGCGCCAAATTTTTTGCGAAAAACTAGACATTTCAACTCAAAAACCAAAAAAATTACGTTTTTTTTCTCTTACCATCACACTGAAACCGTACCATTAGTATTCCCTATCTTAATACAGTGTAGACTCTATATCCAATGTTAATACATAGCTGGTAGACCGGATGCTCTATTCCCTATCTTAATACATGGGGGTCTACCACCTCCCCCCTGATCAGCCTCAACATCTACTACTAACATTTTGTTTTTGACTTTTCCTTAGTTATACAATGATACATGATATGAATAATCCCTCTTGACCACTGGCCAACATCAGTTATCCTAATTTTTTTCGTTTTTCACCGTCTCGGCCTAGCCAGTTAACTTTAATCTGCTCAAGGGTTATCCAATAAGTTACAGCTATTGCTGGGATTCGGCTCCCCAGACAACGTAATCATTGTTAAATACACGTCTAAAAATCATAATTTTAGATAATAATAGCGAATGTGACACATTGGGTCCATTAGAGATCCTCGACCTGATTTTCTGTTGCACTTAAACAATCGATTGATATTGAGTTAACTTAAATCTGTTCGAAAAATTTCGGATCTCCAAAAATTCGATGTTAACAGTTGGGTCGAAAATCGGGTTTTTGGGGTCTAATACCGGAGATAGACAATTCATAAAAAGGGGATTAACCTACTATTAGTAGTTAAAAAAAGTTATGAACTCTTTTACACACCACAAAAGCTTAAAAAAGACCTTAAATAGGAAACTTGCAATCGATGGAGGTTAAAAACTTACCTGTCCAAAATTGTCGGTGACTAGTGTAGCTCTAGACACAGCAGGAGTCATCAGAAACAACATCCACAACGACTGTTGGTTATAACTTTAACAATTTTAGTGTCTTTCGGTGGCTATTTTGATAAAGTAACAACTTAACTTTATCAAAATAGTCACCAAAAGACATTAAAATTGTTAAAATTATAACCAACAGTCGTTGTGGATGTTGTTTCTGATGACTACTGCTGTGTCTAGAGCTACATTAGTCACCGATAAATTTCTCCTTAACGTGCGTTAATACTTTTTTTTTCGTCTGAAGAAAAAGTTTTTTCTTTTTTTAAGTTGTACACTAGTTTTGTTTAGTTTTACGCTTTCTCTTTAGTTGACTTTGGTCCCAGTTTTGAGTGAAGTGGGCTCGCGGCTTCTCACTTAGTACTCCGACCCCCGATTTTTTCGGTCTGAACTGAATCTTATCTAAATTGAACTTGTCGGAGGGTCCAAACCTCCTACCTAGCTCATTGCAGGACAATAAGGCCTCTAACCCGGACGAACGCCCTGAGCGGAGGGTTCGTCACTAAAACATTTGCTGATAAATATAGTGTATTGCCTTGAGCAGCATCTAACAGGAACGCCATTTTTAATTTTTCTAGGTGAGATCGGTTTTGATTTCAACTTTCTGAGGATCAGACTCTCATTTGAAAATTGCCTGCTCTCATTCTTGGTTTGAAGCGTCATATCATCGGAAAAAGTAAAAAGGTTTTTTCAAGGCTTCATAAGGAAGAACGAAAACTACAGACAGTGGATAAATTAGAAGATGAGTCAGATTTTTAGTTGAACTATTGAAACATTTTGCTTTTTTTAAATTCTCTATAAGTGTATTTCCTTAGACAGTCCCAAACATGAGCGCCATAGAAACGTCGTTTTAACAATTGCGCAGAAAGTACAGAGTGACGGAGGATAGAACAAAACCCTCTCGATGACTGGTTGACGTCATTTTTAACTTAATCCTGTTAGTTTTTCACCGTCTCGAAGTAGCTAGTTGATTTCTGGCTCGTTTGAGGGCTTATCATCTCGTTACAGCTTTTAGGCCATCAGCCTAACGAAATATACTTAGCCTTAGTTGACAAACTTAAAATTTACATGTTTCGATCTTGGACTCCCAGACAGCGTAATTATTGCAAAAAACAGTGCTAAAAACCTTTGTTTTAATTACACTTCCTCAACTACTCATGTTTGAAATAATCGATTGCAATTGAGTTATGTTGAATCAGTTCAGAGCGGTAGAGCAGCTAAAAGGTTGTAATTGTTTATGAAAAAGTCACTAGACACTAGGCCACCTATTCCATTCTCTTCTGGAATTAGTTCCGTTTTTTCTTATGTTCCTCTGTTCGGGAGGGTTCGGATCTGTCCAAAAGAACGAACTAACCTTTCGGTTTCACTCGCTCTCGCATTTAAGCGTCGTTTGCGTGATGGGTCCGGCTGCTTCAAATCGATAGCTGTAATCTTTTTTTTCCTGTGACACGACCTTTTTTTGTGTGTTATTCGGTTGTTTGGTGTGACACGAGTCGCAAAGAAAAGGCCGTTTTATAGTATTTCTCATAAGATTTTGATTTCCAGAATAATCCAAGCTTCTTTACTTCGAATTAGTTAGATAGGCTTTTATTGTCGTTTTCTTCGTGCGATTGAAGGTTCCGCTGTGCCATCCGCGGGAATGGAACAATAACGAAATGCATGAGAGCAGCTGTACACTGGAAAGGATCCGTTTTGGTTGAGATTGCTACTGCAGAGATTGTAAAATGTGTATGGGCACGCACAAAAATTGAATTATTTGTAATATATTTTGGAACAAGATCAGTTCGGAGTTCAATAAATAAATCAGAGAGTAAAACAAGTAAAACCAGATCCATTTCCAGAGAAAACTATTTCAAAAACATTTGCTCTCACCAAATAATTTCATATAAAATGAAACCAGAACAGTCATCGCGGGAACAAAACTTCCTCAAACATTGCAGAGGAAGGTTTTTTTGATAAAATACTTTTTCGATGAAATAAGTTTTGAATTCATTTTAAATTCTAGATTTTTTTTCAGTAATTTCTCGAGATGAGAGCGGTTTTGAGTTTGATTTTCTGACGGATCAGAATCTCATTTAAAATTTGCCTGTAACTCAACTTAGTTTCAAGCGTCAAATCATCTAAGACAGTAGAAAGGTTTTTTAAGGCATCATAAAGACGAATGAAAACTGCAGACGGAGGATTATTAGAAGAAGAGACAGATTCTTACTAAACTTATTAAAACAATTTGCTTTTTTCTATATTCTTTTAAGGTTAAGTGTTCTTTTCTTTTAGTTTTACAAAGCCAATGATTTATACACCCATGAAGCATGCAGCTCGATCAAATTCAATTCTTGGGCTATTTAGAAAAAGGATTCTTTCGCGTGTCAAATAATTTTTCTGAAGAGCTTACCGAAGAGATCTTTTTACTAATAGAGCAAAAATGTAGCAAACTATTTCAAGCAGTAAGAGAATCTGTGTCAAAAAATTATGGATTTATGTCGAAAACATTACGAAATTACGAATTCTTTGAATTGTCAATTTCCTTTATCTTTCAATTTTTAAGAAAAAACTGACGTGGAAAGAAGAATGTGTATGATTGAATCTCCAAAACATTTCTATGATCTTGAGTTTAGATCAGTTTGCAGTAAGTTTGGTCTATTAAACGTATCATGAGTCTGGAACTTTAAAATCTTTGAAGTCAAAAATTAGGTTCTTTTTTCAGATTTTTTTTAATTTTTTAATT